AAACATTCTGGAAATGTTTGGTGATAACTTTCTTAAGATGTATGAGCGCATTGAGACAATGAATAGGACATATAAATGAATTTATGCATGCCAATATTCACTCACATGCACTTATAATCACACTAAGGTATGTAGGCCCACAGTATTCATAATATGTGTAAAATATCCGAAAAAATCACACTTTTTTCTGACTATAAAGGTTGTGTCTCGTATGTAGATTCTAACTGTTAGATAAGCTATCTGGCCGTGTGTGGTTTGTGAGGGTTGCTTATAAAGTGTCCGCTGTTTATGCATATTGCAACGTTATTGCACCCTTTAGATTTGAGACCGACAGACATACTATAGGAACGGACCGACTGTCACTGCCCATCCCTGAAACCCCTGTTAGTGTTTGTTTCTACTGTGTGTCTCTCTCTGCTCTACACGGCTGGGAGCAATCTCCAATCAACCACACATGCCACCTGCTCATCAGCCACACTATGAAAGCCTGCAGCCTGAACTCATTCCCTGCCGGTTTGTTGCGTGCCGCTCTAGCTTTTTACCAGCATATTCTTTGACAACTTTGCCTGCTTTAGCCTCACACTCATTTTTATGTCTCTCCCAGGAGGAATCCAAGGCCTTCCACACTCCCAAGACTAGCCTGGCCTCTCCACCCTGGAGCAACTGTTTCCCACTACTGCCATAACCAACCTCCACTCCCAGCTCCCCTTTTCTAATAAACAAATGTTACTTTCATCAGCTGATTCCGATTCATCCTTTTACATGTGTTAATAATCAAATTCCTTCCTAATGACCACAGTGGTCAGTCCACTTACCCAGGAATTTTGAGTTGAAGAATTACAGGAATATTATGTCTTTATGTTCTAATAATGTAAAAATATGTTAGTACATTGTTACCACAGAACATTTGCATAATGTTTTAAACATAATGCATGTTATCCTTCTCTAAAATAATAACATTCTGGCAACATAAACAAATCTAACTTGCAGCTCAGAACAGTAGGGCATAATGTTCTAACAAAGTTATCAAAAACATTTTAAGAATGTTTTTAGAGAACGTTGTCCTACCTTTCAGAAGAACATTCTGGAAACCAAAATAAAAGCTTCAGCTGAAAACGTTTTAAGAATAGTAGAGCATAATGTTCTTCCAATGTTATCAAAAATGTTTTAAGAAGGTTATCACCAAACATTTTAAGAAGGTTTTTAGAGAACGTTATCCTACCTTTCAGAAGAACGTTCTGGGAACCAAAAGAAAACTTCCCGCTGAAAACATTCCTAGAACAATGAATGTAACATTCTCAGAATGTTTTTAGAACCAAAAATGTCTAGCTGGGTAGTCAGAGAAGCAGGTCAGCCAAGACACTCATACAAGGGGATTAACAGAAGATTTGTTTACAGAAGAAGTGTGTTAAAAACAATGAAATAAATAAATGAACTTGCGTTTTAACCTAACTAACCTAAATATTTTATAACAATATATATAACATGTTGATGTTCTATATAGCTCAATGAAGCTATATAAGCTCAGCAAACCATAGTGAAGGTCCTATGACATCGCTAAGAAGCTATTCCAGGTTCCAAGATATGAATGCCATCCCATTAGACTATAAATAAGATAATGTAATATAATAGATTAAAAATGAAACAGTCCTACTATTGGTAAATCACGTTTATTATGGAGAATAACCATTCAGGAAACAGAAAAGTTTGTGAATGATAGTGTTCGTAATATTATATTTATCATTATTTATTTATTTCCTCTTTTCCTAAATAAGGGCAAAGGGCAGCCACTTGAAACGCTGTTTGCATACGTGTCTGGCATACAGCAGTATACCAAGACGATAAGACACGTTGTATGACACTTTACTTGAAGATATGAGTCTCTCGCGTTTCTGTCTACCATGTGTTGCATTACACTAAACCACGTTATTTCTTCAATGAAGCTCTTGTTCACATACAGTACATGTGATGTAACCTATTGGAAAGAGGAAATATATAATTCTTTCAAGAATTTGCAAGATTTAAATCTAAGCACTAACATTAAAATAAAACACAAGTTTGTAAGAATTCAACACACACACACACACTTTTGTCTCTGTCACTTTAATAAATATGTGTATCTCACAGTTGCATTTTACTAGTCTACCAACCAAATTGCTCATTAAAACAAAACACACCAACATGGATCGTCCGTCACACACACACACAGACACGCACGCACGCACGCACGCACGCACGCACGCACGCTGTAGCTGTCCAACGACCCTGTAGATTACTGGAACAATTGTATTGCAGGCATTCAGTTCATGATTCAAGATACACACAGGTGGATCCCACCACGAGGCCAACACTCACATAAAGTGGGAAACCACATAAACAGGAAGTCAATGAAACAAGGTGAGTGATTTTTACAAAATAAAACAGGAAACAGAAACGCCAAGGTCATGAAATAACCCCAGGATAAAATACCTCCAAATCACAAACACAATAGCCAAATACAAAAGGTATCACTAAGAAATAAGTAGAGTTATAGGTGCCAAACAACATAATATTAAAAACGTATATATGCAGAGGGCAGTTGCCGGATATCTAGTTTGTAATGCGGCCTTGAATGAAGTGTTTTTTATTCTTTAGAAAGAGGAAATTTACATACATTTTTATCTTTTAATTCTTAGAATTTACTTTCTTACAAGACAGGAAATCCTTAGTTATTAATGTCATTATGTGATTGGTTGGGCCTTTTAGCATCTTCATATTCGAGTAAAGGCCTAACATTTGCACTGCATATTCATTTTGTTTATTTTTTCAATATTCTTCCAACCATAACTGTTATGCTTGGTTGCCAATGTGCCTGTAACATTGGATTAATTAATATCTGTCTGGAAACATTGAACATTAACTGTGGCTATCATTTAAGTTTTAAAGATATGTGTCCAGATTTTGATGAATGCAGTCGCATCACTTGGTCATGTCCCCGACATTTTAGCTTTTAATATAGAACAGGGTCTTATAATTTAAGATTATATTTATCATAAATGTTATTTGTATAGAGCCAAATGAAAAGGACTCTACTAAATGAACATATACCTATTAGTACTCATGTGTCTGTGGATAGATGTTGTCACCTTAAGCAACCGTGTCACATGCAGTCTCAAGACTTTGCAGATATAGTTGGGATTGATAGGAAGGAAGCGACCATTCACCCCCAATTTAGATTTTTTTTTCATTTAGATCATTTTTCTGTGAAATGATGATCAAAGTGATTAAATAGTATTCGTTTCACAACTTTGATGTTTGCTCAGAAGTGAAGCAGGAAACCAGTTTCTGTGGTTCAGCTGGTTTGTTGCAGATTTCACAAGAAATGTTTGAGTGGGCTGCTTTAACAAAAAAACAAACAATTGCAAAATGGGGACCAATGAAATATGTTAGTGCAAACTTGCAGACAAACATTGCATGGATGTGGTCAGAATTCAAAATAATCTATGTGTTAATCAGACAAAGTGCTGCATAAAAGGATCGACTTAATGCCCCGAAGAACAAAGGCAAGTCAATTGTCTTGCAGGCATCATGCATGCTCTGCACAAACTCCTGCTTTTTCAGGTCCTGACATATCTTTGACAAAATGGTAATACTCCGAACTCTGTTTATTATGCTCCAATCATTAACTGAAATTAACCTATGACCTTTTACTTATTTAGCAGATGGGAGTAAAATCATAAATGGAACAATAGCCCCAGATCAGTGTTGTAGTCAAGTCACGAGTCCAAGTCACTCTCGAGTCACCACTCTTCGAGTCCGAGTCCAAGTCCGAGTCACCAAGGGAGAGTCGTAGTCGAGTCGAGTCCAAGTCGGTCACCCATAGGAGTGTCGAGTGGGTCTGAGTCCGAGTCATCTATTTAACCCCCCCTTGTTTCGAGTCCGAGTCCAGTCGCGAGTCACCAAGGAGTGTCCGAGTCGAGTCCGAGTCATCATTTACCTATGTTCAAGTCCGAGGCCAAGTCGAGTCACCTAAAAGGTCCAAGTCAAGTCTGAGTCCAAGTCTTCATATATTAATCTTTGTTATAATGTGTTGAAATGTAGTCTGCTCCTCTACATGCTTTACCTGTTCATGTTATACTAATTGTCTATTGAACTCTGTGAAGCGAGTTTGGCTACAATTTGTTAATAGGTGCTTAAATATAAAGCGTAGATATTATAAATTAATATTACTTATTATTGAAATGAGCCCTTAAGATGCTCTTAACTATATTTAAAGAATGAGTTAGAGAAGTGGGTCATTACATTGTATGCCAATTTTTCCTATGGACTGGAATAGTGGGGCCAAAATCAGGACATTCCGCCCATAAGTCTTTTATTTGAACTACATCAGGAATGTCCTGATTGATTTTTCTGAGTGACCTAGATGGTTCTCGGTTATCACCCTAGAGTTGAGATCCAGCTACTGATACTGGACAGTTTTTGTTTATTCTCATCTAAAAGACAGGATTATAGCTCATACAATAGTTCAAGGTCTTTTATTTGAAACTTACATTCAGATGTCCTGATTTTTTAATTGAGGACTAGATGGGATGTCTGCTATTCACCCTGAAGTGAAATGAGTCTTTGATACTGGACAGTCTTTGTTTATTCTATCTAAACACAGAGGGATGACTTTGTTTTTAGCTCTACCGTAATGCATAGGATATTCGCGCACCGGCAATATCACGCTGGAGGCTGCTGACTAGGTTTTCCCGAGTGGAGGCTGCTTGACCGCAATTAGTTTAGCATTACTCAGCCCGACTCAGCGCTGGTGTTCCTGGCCCTAGAACCACGATTTTATGGGCCATTACATCACCAGGATAGGTCCCAATTTAAGGGGTTCATTCTCCCAAAAAAAAATTATTACGTCACTATATCAAACAGCCCCACCGAAATATTTGCCCACCAGCCGCCACTGCCTTGGTACGCTGACTACTGGCATGGACGACAGGACAAGGACGAACTGACACAGGACAAGGGACATGGGGGTAATATAAACAAGAGGTAACTAGACACAGGTGGAAACAATCAGGGCGGGCTGTGCTGCATGATGAGCGGGAGAACACAAAGATAGGGAGTCAAGAACCTGGAATGATAACAGACAGGTGAGTGTCAAAATAAAACAGGAAGTGGAAGGACAAGACAAAAAATGACTTAACAAAAACATGAAAAATGACAGACTCAACATTTTTGACGGGACACAACAAAAAATGTGACAGAGCAACCAAGATGTAGGCTTTACAGCGTTAAAGGAAACCCCTAGCGAGAGGGGTGGCCAACCCGCGGCCTCTCGAAGCCGCAGCGGCTCTTTGCCTGTTCAGTGCAGCTCTTCAGTTCATATCGAATTTTATATGTGTGAGTATTGGGGAGAGGACACTGACGCCTGATAGTGTGCACGGGTGTACCTGGATACTTGAAGGATACCCGCGAGTACCCCCGTAAAAACGTTACTAGTTCCTCCCGTCCATTAGTACGGTACTTTAAGAATGACGGGGAAAGTCTCCGGTGAGAAAGCGCTTGTTTAATAAGAGCCGTGTGTGTTCAGTGCTCTGCCTTCCCACTCCCTGCCATGCAGCCGGCTACAGTCCGCCCTTTAAGAACGCTCTAAGTCCCTCCCTCTCTCTCCTCTCTCTCTCTCTTCTTCTTCTTCTTCTTCTTTAGTTGTTTTATTGGCGGTTGGCAACCAAATTTTAGGTGCGATTACGCACCAACTGACTGAGTATGGACAATAGACTATGCAGAAAACAATTAACAAAATTAAACAAACAAAAACAACGAAAAAAGTAAAACCAAACTCTAATAGTCAATGTATTTGCTTTCTTCAGTGTTTGGAAAAGCACATTTCTCTGAATGACTATTTTCCGCAATGCAGGCAAAAAACAGTTCACCGTTTCTGGCTGGCTCAGTTATACACTTCTGGATGGGATGCTTTCCTATTACCCCATATGTATGAGTTGAGACCTGGCGTTGTGTGACCTATTCTTCATCCGAGCAAATGGACATTCTTTCCTCCTTCTTCTCTAAACCCCACTTCCTTCCATACCCACATACCTTGAATGTTATAAAATGTCTTCCTGGGTCACTAGGTTCCCAATGATCTTGCCAATGTTGTTTGCGCAATGATATGTCGGAATGTTTTAGACCTCCGCTTTGCTGGAGCGGAAGCTTCAATGTCTATATTCTAGATTCTGAGTGTTGTTTGGCCAGATATCAACCTGTTCATACTCCACACCAACATGAGCAGGAACCCAGATGAAACGAGTTGCCTATGCCTTTGATTGCATTTTATACAAATTAGAAATATGCATTTATGATGTCCCATTCTAAATGAAGATCTGCCTGATCACTCATAAGCTGAATAGCGTGTGCAGATTCAATTACAAGTATTATGTATTCCTTTCTCCTCCTATCATTCCAGATGCAATACCCAATGCAAACAACTCTGTGGTATTACTGACACATGATCTGTTACCCTTTCTTTATATGTGAATACTCACCTGGGATATCAAACTGACTGCCCCAGCACGCCCTGTCTCTGGATCTTTGGAGGCATCNTATAATCATAAAAGGAGCAATAGCCCCAGATGATACGTACGAGTTTTTAGTCTCCCTGCAAAAAAACGAGAAACATCTGTGCGGAGGATTCCTGATCAGCGAAGACTTTGTGCTCACTGCTGCGCACTGTAGCGTCGAGTGAGTATAACTTCCTTTATCCGCTATCTTTGAATCATTCAATTAGAAAGCAATTTGAAAGATATATTAACCACCTTTTATTTTAAAGCAATATCTTCAATATTGAATATTATCTTATCTTTCATTTAGGGAACCGGACAGGGTCGTTGTTGGCGCTCACGATCTCAGCAAAGTTGGTGAAGAAAATGTAAGAATCATTGAAAAGAGATACAAACACTGATCCTATTACCAAGTAGACAAAGGTAATGACATCATGCTCCTCAAAGTAAGTATACATTTTTTTGGGATCAAATTAATAATTTAACTTTCAGCTTCATATTCAGCCATTTTTTGTCACATTAAAGTGTGAAGAATAAAAAAGTATTCTCTTATATTACAGACATTGCTAGTTTTGTGAGATTTACTTTGAGATTTTTTTTCATCTCCAGCTCTACGAGGAAAGTTGCCGGGAACAAAAAACAAATCATTGCTCTTCCTTTTTCTAATATGCACATTCAAGAAAAGAAAACCTGCCAAGTAGCTGGATGGGGTTTCACAAAGACTGGTGGTGGAGTTGTTGATAGGCTGATGATGGTGGATGTGTCCGTCATAAACCTGAACACATGCTCTTAGTTATGGGGTGGTATTCCTTCCGATGTTATCTGTGCCGGCGGTTATGGCAGCCACAAAGGCTTCTGTTAGGTATAATTTCTCTTTGTTGATGTAAAATGTAAGCTGGTATAAAAATGGTTTAAAAATCTAAAATAAAATAATCAATAATGAATAATATTCCTTGTTGGCAGGGTGATTCTGGTGGTCCTCTGGTGTGCGACGGGATAGCTGTTGGTGTTGTGTCTTTCAACAACAACAACAACAACATCTGTGACTACCCAAATTATCCCAACGTCTACACAGAGATCTCCAAATACCTTGGCTGGATCAACAGTATCATCAATTAAAAGCTTAATAT